TTTTCCTCAGTGTTGGTGATGCTATGTGTACAATTGCTGCAAGCACAACATTCCCAGAACCATTTGTGACTCCAACTGATCGTAGACGACTTGGATGGATGCATAAAAACCTGGCAGGCACACGGTGTAGTGACCATGTGGCTCTCCTTAATGCATTTCAAGCTTGGGAAGAGGCCAGGTAGGCACAGGTCTCACAGATTATATATTATATCTGTTATTATGTTACACTAGACTGTGTATACATTTTGTCATTCAGAATGAGAACTGATAAGCAGAAGTCATTCATCTTTTATTACATTTTCATATCTTTATTAGCATTCTATCATTTACACATTTTCTCAATTTTTGTAAAACAAAGACTGAAAACAATAAAACATAGTAATTTGTATTAGTTTATATGCAGTTGATTTCTAGTTAGGTAGCCTAGTATGAGGACCATGATAATTTTTTTTTATCAGGGTAGGTGGTGGCTGAGTTTTTAACTTTTAAACAGAAATATTCATAATACTTCACTGAGCCTCAATTATGAAATACATGTTCACTCTTGGTTTCAGGTCTGGTGGTGAGAACAGTGAGTGGAACTTTTGTGAACAGAAGAGTTTGTCAATGCCCACTCTAAGAATGACATGTGAGGCCAAGGTAATGTTATATAACAGTGAGTGGAACTTTTGTGAGCAGAAGAGTTTGTCCATGCCCACTCTAAGAATGACATGTGAGGCCAAGGTAATGTTATATAACAGTGAGTGGAACTTTTGTGAGCAGAAGAGTTTGTCCATGCCCACTCTAAGAATGACATGTGAGGCCAAGGTAATGTCACACAGCAGTCAGTTAGCAGTATTCAAAGAGTGTATTCCCAGAGATTTAGATTGATCCATCTAGATTGACCTAACTATGATCTTAACTATGAATGTTAATGATCTTAACTATAAATGTTACTTTTACCTAATTATTGTGACAAGGTAAGACTTTTCAGTATAAATGTGCAGTATTGTTTAACATATGCAAATGATATAAGTTGAGGGTTTTGAATTTTATATGTCAGCTTAATTATCCTATTGACTGAAAGGATGATGTTGAATTTACTGTCCCACCACATCAAATAACAATATTTTAAACCACATGTTACACTAGACTGAGTATTTCATATGTTCTCAAAATTTTTTTCTGTAATTTCCAGAACCAACTTCGTGATATCCTGGTGAATGCTGGGTTTCCAGAGGAAAGCCTCTACCCACAGATGTTCAACTCTTCAGGTCCAGACAGTAAATTAGATATGGTAGGTGGCTATTAGAATTCTTATTGGCATTATTGTTTTTTTCCAACTCTTTATGGTGTCTTTGTCTGAAAAAGCTATTGGCAGAATGTGTAAGGCTTCAGAAACAGAAGTAGTTTGCAGAAGCTATCTTTTCTAAGAATTTAATTCTTGTTGTACTTATTATGTATCTGCTGTAATGTAATATTTTGCCTTTCTCATCTGCCATACTTTTTATGGTGTCATGGATTTCATACTGACCCCAATTCAAACCTAGATGTAACCTATACATTATTATAGATGAACAGGTGCAGATTATGTTAGATATCACTCAGTGTCTAGCTTGACAACACAGTTCAAAATTTCTTTCTTTGAGAACACTGCTATCAATTAACCTGTGTTTTCATGCCACATAGTATAAGATTATCCACATTATCAGGTGATATCCTTGCTGTGCCTGGGTCTTTACCCCAATGTATGTTACCACAAAGAGAAGAGGAAGGTTCTGACTACAGAGAGTAGAGCTGCTCTGATTCACAAGTCTTCTGTCAACTGCAGCAATAGAGAACAGACATTTCCAACACCTTTCTTTGTGTTTGGAGAAAAGGTACACGGTATATTTCAAAATCAAAGACTCCATTGTATCTGCTACACAACTGCTGTGACATTTCCTTGTTTTGTTGTAGGAATTAGTTATAGGTAACTGCTAGTAAATATTACAGTTACATTTTTTTATAACCCTTTATTTATAAAAACTATTTAAAATTTTTTTTATTAATTTTTTGTTAATTACAAAGTAATCAATCCTCAAACATATACCAAGGCAGTTTATTCCGCCAAATTTAACAAATTAAATGAATTTTGATGCTGACAATTTATGTCTTCCATGAAATATTCTTTTATTTTAGATATGAATAATTTTTTTATGAGAATAAAATTCTTGTCTTTGTTCTTATAGATCCGTACGCGAGCAGTGTCATGTAAACAGATGACCATGGTGTCTCCAATACAGCTTCTCATATTTGCTGCACGCTCTGTGAAGGCTGAAAATGGGATTATTATCCTGGATGGCTGGTATGTTTTATATGTAGAAATAGGATACAAAGTCATTTATATATTGAAGGGAAGCGTATATATGAAAGGGAAGCGTACACAACAGCACCTATACCAAAACATGAAATGCAAAATTTGGCAAAATTTAGAACAGGGGCACATGACTTAGAAATCCAAAGAGGCAGATACCGAAAACCAAAATCAATACCCCCTGAAGAAAGGATCTGCAAGTTATGCTCAGATGAAGTCGAAAATGAAATACACTTTCTTTTAAAATGCCCCTTACTCACCAAACACAGGGATATCCTAAAACAAGATCCTACACAAACCCCAGAGGGTCAGTTCAAATGCATAATGCAGTCAAACGATTTAGATGTTATAAAGAATGTGGCCCACTATATCTCAGTGTGTAATAAGGAAAGAAAAAATATTCTCAACCAACCACCACCTAGTCAACCAAAGTAACTGAGCGTATACTGCAATTGTAAAATCTGATCGCAGTTATTGTATAAACAATATTGTAATTTACTATTGTAATCTTAGTTATATGATTATATAATGTATACTGTTAGGTCATAGTCATTGTAAAAAATGTATTTGAACCGCAATAAATAAAAAAATAAAATATTGTATTATCCTAGATGGCTGAAAGATTGAAAATATTACTCTTTTTATACTCCCAAAAACTTGTAAAAGATGACAACATGGAAATGAAAAGAAAGAGGATGAGATTTCAGAAATTAGGAAAAAATCATAATATCATATGCTACACATGTACATGTAAGTGAACTAAACTGCATTCAATCACTTTATTCAGACATGCACATGCACAGTCAAATTCATTCCCTTCTGGTCATATGTCCACATACAGGTTAAATCTGAAGATGCCATTCAGCCAGGCAGCCAAGATAGTGGCCCTCCGTCCTGCCCTGGAGGCCCTGAATATCAGAGCTACCACAGATCCTGAGGGCACTGCACAACCCATGCCACTGGATGAGCAACTGATGCAGGTGTTCAGGGCGCTGTCCAGGCCAAATGCTGGCAGCTTTGGAGTGGAGAATAATTACTCTGGGAAAGAGACGGCAGCAGGGTGAGTGTTTCTCATAACTGTTATAATATCTAGTAATGTGTTGAGTGATATATGTCTATAGTTCCATTTTATATAGGTTGGGGATTTTTGGTAATGCTGTTATGAAGAATATATATATATTTATAAATAAGTACACTGTACTATTTGTCGTTAAGCGTTTATTGGTCCAACTTGACAATGATATAGGTTGGGGATTTTCTAGCTTTACTGTAATGCCATCACTCCTAACACACTGTCATACTGGTACAGTGTATATGTGCTGTCATTTTATATGTGTGTTTGGACCTCTGTCATTACTAGCAAAATGGAATTTTTTGTGTAGATATTAATATTACTCCATATTCATACATAAGTGACTTAAAAGGAGACAAGTAGGAATACAATAGAGAACCAATTAAGCCTGACAGAACTTCAGAGTGCTTCCTGTTTCATATTTTTACTAATTATGTATTAAACTTGAAATGTATATGTTTAATGATTTTTTAAATGGTTTTAATTCTGATCTCTTTTTTTTTTTACAGTGGCCCAGGATTTGGCCCACCACCTCCAAAAAGGTTCCACTCGGGTCCTGGAGGGGGACCTAGATTTGGAGGAGGACCAAGATTTGGAGGTGGATTTGGTGGCCGAGGGGGAGGATTTGGAAGAGGTGGATTCCGAGGAGGAAGAGGCGGGTTTGGTGGAGGCAGAGGTGGATTTGGAGGTGGATTTCGTGGAGGAAGGGGTGGATTTAGGGGTGGATTCAACAGAGGAGGATTTTAATATTTTGAACAGGGGTGTGAAGTAATATGTGAACACTTTAATGTGAGAGAAACTGCCTGCTAATGGATATTTCAGTGGATATTTCAAATGTGTATTATGAAAAAGTTTTTCATAGTTTTAGACAATTCAAAGGCAAATTTGATCTTACGTACCTCATTTGATCGGAGTAAAAAATACAATAAAATAAGTCTGAGACAGACTCAGTGACACCTAATTTCTGTCCAGAACTGATAAGTACCACCCTGTATATATCTGTACAATGCTGTACTCCTCATTCTTCATAAGCCTCACCTCTTTGGTCTGTCATGAGTTTTCATATGTCTAGATGTCTGCAGTATGTAACACAGGGAGCAAGTGTATGTAGTGTACAGTGCACATGTACAGAAAACATATTTATAAGTGTTACACCATACAGTCATGTCACCCAAAGGGCGTCCATCCTCCCTGAATAATGTATTATAGTATACTCTGTGTTGTAAAATGATTGTAATTTGCAGAATATGGCGATTACATTTACTTGATGTTTGCAATGTGGAACAATTTTACAGATACTTTTTTAAGTTATAGCTAGATAATTGAAATTATATTATTCCTATGGAGTGGTACATGTAGCAATAAAAGTGAAAAACAGGCCACCTTGTGTTTCTATTCCATATATATATAGTGAAACAACTGCAAATGTTACACAAGAAGAATTATATCCAAAATTATGTCTGTAAAAGATAAGTTTTAAGGTAAGTTTCCCCCAATGAAAAGATCAAGTCATAAATTACCAATTATTGAAAATTGTACAATAAAGGATAATTGCTGATAGAAAATGCAACTTTGGGGAAAAAAACGTTATTTGTATGAGAAATAGCCTATATGAGAATTTAATTCTAATTTCACCATTTTGATTACCAGATTTTCACGAATGTGGAGTATGTGAAATTTGGCTTCTTTAAAAATCATAATAACATATTCCCACAAAGCACAACAGCTGACCAATATTGGCTCAGTGGTGATGACAGCAGCTATATAACACCTTTCTACAAATCCTCTCTGTGGCACCAAATACACGCACTGAGCAAAAAATATAAATGCCCCATGTAATAGTTTACAAATTTTATCTGCATTGTTATGTTTATATTAAATCATACAAAGTGAACTTTGTTGTTCAATGTGCTATAGATAAAAATTAAGATTATAACACAACATCAATTCATTTGGAGTTGCCCATTACACATTACATAAATAATTCACATGGGTTGTTTGTATTTTTCCTCAGTTTTATATACAAATAAATTATGTTCATGTATTCAATTCAATGACGTTGATTAACACAATTGTACAATAATTTAATTCAGTTATGTTGCAAGGTCATTTTGAATATTAAAAAATAATAACACTAAAATTTAAAATTAAATAAGATAAAAAAATTCTAAATTTGACAACAAATCCGTGTTACTTAAAAATGTTGACATCAGTTCAGAAGTTTTTCAGAAGTTCTGCGAAAAGAAATTATATGATCTTCAAGACTAGAATATATGTGATTCTTAAAATGAAAGACTGATGTCTTTAAATATTTATATGTTGATATAGGGGTGAAATCTTTGAAAACTAAGAATATAGATTTTACATATTTTCTTGCTATTGCAACTGTAACTGTGTAATAACTTTGGCAATATTTGCCCCAAATGTGCCAAACCATATTTTTGTTTAATGATGTAGACTTGTTGAATGGCAATTTGTTTTGTAAAAAGGCATGTTCATTTGGAAAACTCCATTATTATGAAAGATATTATTACAAAAATGTGTTTACTGGAATGTGCCTTTTTATGTTATTTTTAAAATGGAGCAATAAGAATAATGTTTTAATGACTTTTTATGCCTAGTTTTAAGATTATAAAATGTGGCAATTTTCCCAGAAGTTGAACATCAAGTGACATCTTTGTAAGAGACATTGCAAATCCAGATTGTTTCTAAGGTGAGATCTCTCTCTCTTTTTCTCTCTCTTTCTCTCTCTCTCAGCCTAATAGTAAACCAGAAACTAGAGGAATTTGAAGACTCCAGGAAGAGTATGGAGGGCATATAGTATCCTGGTCTCCCCCTCAGCAGAACTGGAACCCATTGACAGCATGTAAAATAGATGAGGGTCCACTGGCCTTTGTGAGTGTTTTCTTCTTAGGAGACAGATCAGCAAATTTTACCCTGTCATTATCAGTTATGATTTATTTCAGGGTTCAATTGTGAGAATGATGTAAATACACTTCTGAGTTTTTGTTATACCAAAGCAATGTGTTTCAGTATCATATGTTTCAGTATTGAATAGGGATACACAGTAAATGTCAACTGCAGAATTGTTTTTTTCCAACAATATCCCATATTATAGGGTTCAATTGTGAGAATGATGTAAATACACTTCTGAGTTTTTGTTATACCAAAGCAATGTGTTTCAGTATCATATGTTTCAGTATTGAATAGGGATACACAGTAAATGTCAACTGCAGAATTGTTTTTTTCCAACAATATCCCATATTATGTGGAACATCTTAATTTGCTTATCAGATATCAAAGACATTGGTATTAAGGGCCTTTTCAGAATCAGTTGATCTGTAAACTAACTAGTCCCTGGATCAAATATGGTGCACACTGGATTCTCACCTCCCATGTGGACTAGTTAGTCTGCAGATCAACTGGTTCTGAACAGGCCCTAAGACTACAGTCTCAATCACTGTTCCCATGTAGGCTAGTTAGTCTGCAGATCAACTGGTTCTGAACAGGCCCTAAGACTATAGTCTCAATCACTGTTCCCATGGACTAGTTAGTCTGCGAATCAGTTGGTTCTGAACAGACCCTAAGACTACAGTCTCAATCACTGTTCCCATGTAGGCTAGTTAGTCTGCAGATCAACTGGTTCTGAACAGACCCTAAGACTACAGTCTCAATCACTGTTCCCATG